ATTATTATTATTATTATTATTATTATTATTATTATTACTAGACTTAAAACGCATCTTTATTCTATGTCCTTTCCAGATTTTTAATTTATGGATTAGTGTTGTTATCTTGGATTTTAATTTATATTTTATTTCATACTTTACTGTATTTTATGATTGTTTTGTACAGCATTTTGGTCAGTGTAAGCTGAATTTAAATGTGCTCTATAAATAAAATTTACTTACTTACGTTGCCTATTATTATTATTATTATTATTATTATTATCAAAAATTGTATCATTTAAAACTGTTGCAGTCCAGCAGAAAAGCAGAAAAGCACAGGCCAATGCTTTTTTCCCCTCGCGTTTTCATGTACTGCGAGCAAGCATAGCTATTTTGGTCGAACGAGGGCGCTCACTCAGAGGAGATGTGCTGACAGGCGTTCGAGTAGGCTGTATTTCCCTCATCCAGCACACCCGATGACATTACATTCATTACCTCTAACTAAATCAGCTGTCATACGTTTACTATCGAATAAACCGGACCGACGAGCACTGAAGCCATATAATACTTATTGGTGCGACTAGACTTCTGCAGCCTCAAGGTGAGTGCGCATCATCCTGGCCGCATTCTTACAAAGCGTCAGAAAACGAGCTAACGTTGACTTGTCACAGTCACAGCTATTATGTATAACTATTAATTATTTCTATATAATCTCTTAAATTGCTCTGTCTTTTATTCTATATAACGCGCAACCTGTACATTCAAGCAACAAACCTTCTTGCGCGAACGAGCAGTAGCCTAATAGCCTATATTTGTTGTCATTTAGTATCTTTATAAAGCGAAAATTACACATGGAAATGTGGAAATAAGGAAATGTTTAAAAAAAATAATTACAAAAAAATATAATAATAATAATAATAATAATAATAGTAGTAGTAGTAAGTAAGTAAATTTTATTTATAGAGCACATTTAAATTCAGCTTACACTGACCAAAATGCTGTACAAAACAATCATAAAATACAGTAAAGTATAAAATAAAATATAAATTAAAATCCAAGATAACAACACTAATCCATAAATTAAAAATCAGGAAAGGACATAGAATAAAGATGCGTTTTAAGTCTAGTAATAATAATAATAATAATAATAATAATAATTGTCTGGACTACCTTTCTATGACGTGTTTTATGTTTTTAAATAGTAAATTGTATTTCTATTGTTACAATAACTAAAACATTAACATTTCTTCAGGAAATTCATCCAGTGTGCTCGAAACAGAATAATAACCATGTCACTGTATCCATCTCTAGAAGACATGAAGGTGGATAAGTTCATGAAGGTTGGACATTGATTTATTTATGTGTGTATGTATGTATGTATGTATGTGTATGTGTGTATTTAAAACTATATATCTATCTATCCAAAATGCTAACCCACCGCCCCCACAACCCCCCATTTTATGTAGGCACAGAACACCCCTACTGCGAGCCCATTAAAGGCTTTACCTCTTCCAGAACCTGAGCCTTACTATGATGCAAAATCTGAAGAGATAGGTAAGAATCAGATACTGTGCTGTATCTATGTATGATTACAAATAACAATATGAGCCGCTTAAAATGATTAAAGTTATCAACGTTCAAAATGGAAAGCAAGCGCTGCTTTGTTTACATTTCGTATATCTTTGTTTCGGTTTTTCATTTTGAATGACGAATATATATACTATTGATAGCTGCTGATATAGACAGTTAATTCCTCTCACGCATGTGCAGAATGCACGTGTTAGTTTGCCGTCGGCTGTAGTCTGTGCGATGTGTTCAAGCGCAGCTTTTTGGTCCGACGCTGCCGACGTGAGGCGACAACACCGTCGGCTTTCATCGCCGCTAGTTCTTTGAAGCTGGTTTGGTGTGTCCCGGCCTTTCGAGCACAGCTTTTTGGTCCGAAGCTGCCGACGTGAGGCAACAACTCCGTCGGCTTTCGGCTTGGTGTGTCCCAGCCTTAATACGTTCAATACTCGACAAGAGACAATAGGCTTGTTCAACTTCATGCGGCGCCGCAAAGATCCGCTTTTAATTCGGCTGCTCTCGCCAGCTGGTGGCAGGCTAGTGTAGTTAATCTCGAATAAGCCTATTGGCAACATGAGGGCTATAAATGCCAAACAATAAAGGTCACATGACACAAACCAACCAATGGGAAACAAGGCACATGACTAAAGCAACCAATCACAAAATGGCACACAGACAAGAGTAGCACATGACATAATCACATGAGGGGCAAGAAACACGTGACAGGAACATGAAAAAAGGCAAAATATCAAAATAAAAGACCAGAAAACCTAAACAAGAAACAAAACCCAAACCCCACGTTACAAAACCAAAAGGACCAGGGAAAGAGAGGAGCACACCAGAATGGCAGTATATTACATACATATATTACAGTATATTATCTTATATTCAATTTTAAAAGCATAACACAACATAGTTAAAATTTAAAAAAAGTTCACATACTAGTTTCTCTGAAAACAATGCTACAGGCAGTTATTCTACTTTTGAAAAGTGTGTTCCGTGTCAGAATGTCTGTTTTTTGTTTTGCTCTTTGTGATTCCGCCCACTGCCAATTTACCCAATAGTATTTTGACACCCCGGGTTTCCAGTTAGTGCAAAACACAGCGTATTGCAGCCATGGGAGATAACAAATGAACTGGGTCAGAGATCAAAGATTCTACCCAACCTAAAAAGCCTCGGCATCCATCTAAAAAGCTCTATAACAAGAGGAATAATAAAACGCAGATAAATCAACTCAACAACTTACATTATAAGACTCGTTGCCTTCCATTGTCAGTTGTGCTCATTCCTCTTGTGTGTCCTAATCTGGCAACCCGTGTGAGCATTGAGTCTGAAGAGGAGCCTGACAAACGACTCCAATATTTTGAATTTGGACTGCAGTACCCATTTCAACTGCTAGCTCTCAATATTACATACTGCACCCTTAGGAAACTGTTTTTACCTTACTTTATCTTTGAAAATTACTTTCATTGGTATAACTTAATGTCATCTTGATTACAGTCACTTAAAATAATATATTTAACTTGAATAAAACCAATTTATTGAGATGTTACCACATGAAGTATATTTTGGGTAATTTGACTAAATATTTTTTGCAGTATTATATATTCCCCAATGCTTTTTAGGCTCTTAGTGTCTGCACACATGGAATGAGCTGGGCGGCAGCCCCCATAACCGGAAGTGACCTGGGGGTGAAGCGGGCAGAGATTCGACAGGGTGTACGGGAGGTGGTGCTGTGCAAAGACATGGATGGGAAGATTGGCCTCCGCCTCAAAGTCATAGATAATGTATTTATTTAATGTTATAAATACTTTAACTTTTAAACTTGAATTAATATAATTTATTAATCTAACAATCCAACAAGAGAGAATCTATTGCAACATGTCAATAGTCTGCAGTTTTTAGCTGAAAAATGTATCAAACATTTAGATATTTGAATAATTTCTAAGTGTTCTATGTTTTAATGAATGACATCCACATTCATATCATAACATTACGCCCCAAAAGTATAATGGGTAATCTCTGATTAACATTTCCAAATGTGTGTTTCAGGGCGTGTTTGTGCAATTAGTGCAGGCTAACACTCCTGCAGCACTGGCAGGGCTGCGCTTTGGTGATCAGATTCTGCAGATCAATGGCAAATCATGTGCCGGCTGGAGTAATGATAATGCACATAAGGAGCTTAAGAATGCCAACCCAGAGAAGATCACTTTGGCTGTGCGAGACAGGTACACACACGTGCACACACACATCAGATCATACATAGAGCATTTTTGCAGGTTTCAAATACTCCGCACAATGATGTTTAATTTATGAGGATCAGGTTGTCATGAATTATTCATGAAGAGATCAGACACAGGAGGGTGTGTGTATGTAGTTTAAGCCTTACAACTGTACAGCAACTATTGTTGTAAACCATTGTTAATACTAAACAGTATGTAGGTATTAGAGACACTCATGAAAAGAGTTGTCAAAAGAATTTAAATTTGTCAAACTGTATAAGCCAATTAATTGTTTGGCCAAGGCCTGAATTTTAGCAACAGTAATAACAGGAGAGAGGGGAATGAGAAAAGACCTTGAGTCAGAATTCAAGCTCCGAGCACTGTTACACGATACGTGAAAGTATCAGGCTATGGCTCTGACAGCCCAACTACTTTATTTTTGGCAGAGTGAAGTATAAATTTGATAGAAAATAATGTGGAAGATGGAAATGAATCATAAAAAACAGGACTTGAACTTAGGTCGCCAGGAGCACAACCATGTTATGTGTCAGGGTGCTGCCCACAAGACCATCGGCTCTGACAGTTTAACTACTTTTGAATGCAGAAATAGAATCATCCAAAAAGCAGTCTTTTTTCTGTCTGTGTTTATTAAGTTTTCTGAAAGAGATCTTGGTTACATATGTAACCCTGATCTCCTGAATAGGGAACGACTCACTGCATCGGTAGCTGATGTAGGGGTGGGCAGTATGGCAAAAATATATCACGTTTTTTTTTTTAGAAATATCACGATTCACAATTTTATCACCATTCTTTGTCATGTTGGTTTTACTATTTTGCAAGCTGTCTAA